AACGATTCGATACCCGTTTTGAAATCTAATGACACTCAATTACGAAAAAAGTTATTGCATTTTTTCTACTGCGCGGTACGTCTCTCTACCGCGTGGCTGGTCAACCGCCACAGTGGTTCAGAATTACAATTTAGTGTTCATAATCACCTACAGCCTACAATTTTTGATGAAATTTGACTTTCTTTTTTTCTAAATCTTAGGCGATAAATTCGCCAGATCGCCATTGAGCCGGAACTATTGTTAACAACAATTGGAATAATATTTTTAATTATGTGTTTTGTGTCTTTGGACATACATGTTATTGTTAAGATACTTAAATAGTTAATTTAATATTTTTTTCAAAAATATTCAACAAATATTGCAATTGTAGGTTAAATTTTTTACTTAATTGTTTAAATAAACTATATTATGAAATGAAATTCAAAATTCCGGCTCAATGGCGATCTGGCGAATTTATCGCCTAAGATTTAGAAAAAAAGAAAGTCAAATTTCATCAAAAATTGTAGGCTGTAGGTGATTATGAACACTAAATTGTAATTCTGAACCACTGTGGCGGTTGACCAGCCACGCGGTAGAGAGACGTACCGCGCAGTAGAAAAAATGCAATAACTTTTTTCGTAATTGAGTGTCATTAGATTTCAAAACGGGTATCGAATCGTTATAAAATTCTCTTTGCAATGTAATTTGAACGAACTTCCTAAAATGTTGAGAACATTGTTTATTTTACAATTAAACAATTAATTTTTTAATAACAAATAGTAATTTTCAACAAAATTTTTTTTTTATTTTTTTAATTGAAAGTGCACTATTTAAGGTTTCCAAAAATATAAGTTTCATTAAAATCCGTTTATTATATCCCAGGTGCGAAAAGTTGGTCGGGCCATGGTCGCGCCGACCAAGTGGATAGTCGTGCCGACCTTGGCAACCAAAGGTCGGCCGAACTAGCGAATTGTAACACCCGCCGTCCAGTGGCTGACATGGTCGTGCCGACTATGGTTGCCAAAGTCGGGCCGACCAGGGGTGCCAAAGCTTTGCCGACCATGAGAAAGAAGGTCGGATTCACTTTGGCAACCTTGGTCGTGCCGACCTTGGCAGCCAAAAGTCGGCCGACCGATTGCAAAAAATTATTAATTATTTATTATTATTATTAATTATTATTATTCATTATTTATTTGTTTATTGTATACATCTTAACACTAAACGCAATCTTACACATAAATACAAATTAAAATTTCTAACGCTCGCAGGAATCGAACTCGCAACCTAACGCACCGAAGTCTAACACGCTAACCATTACGCTACGCTTACATGAAAGCCTAAGAACAAAAATTATTTTATAAGCTGCAACTTCAAACTGACCATCGGCCCGACTCTGGCCAAAGTCGGCCCGACCAAGTGAAATTAGGTTTTTTGCACTCTGGCTGCCATAGTTTTACCGACCGTCGGCCCGACTCAGGCCAGAGTCGGCCCGACCAACAGAAATTAACCTTTTTAAACTCTGGCTGCCATAGTTTAACCCACCATCGGCCCGACTCAGGCCAGAGTCGGCCCGACCAACTAAAATTAGGTTCTCTAAACTCTGGCTGCCATAGTTTTACCGACCATCGGCCCGACTCAGGCCAGAGTCGGCCCGACCAACTAAAATTAGGTTCTCTAAACTCTGGCTGCCATAGTTTTACCGACCATCGGCCCGACTCAGGCCAGAGTCGGCCCGACCAACTAAAATTAGGTTCTCTAAACTTTGGCACCCATAGTCGGCCCAAACTTGGGTGGAAACAGTAACCAAAGTCGGCCCGACTTTGGCTGCCGACCTATTGGCAGCCATAGATGGGCCGACCTGCGCCCGACCTTCCAACTCTGGCGGCCGACCAAAATTCGCACCTGGGATTCCAAGATATGCATTTTTTAATTAAGCACTGTAAAAAACTTCAATTGTTTATAACTCAGAGAAATTTAATTTTTTTAAAAAATCCTTTGAACCGTTTAATAAACTCATAATGACGTTTACATTTCATATGTTGTCAATTGAATACAGTAAATATGAAATTTTACTGTTACACTTCAGGAAGCCTTACCCTATTATTTACCATTTTTTATTATTTTCTTTATTCGGTTTTTGTTTCTTTAAAATTTTCTCCGTTTCCTTCTATTTTCTTTATTTTATTACAATTTTGTACTTTTCCAATCATTTTTTACTATTTTCTGTATTTAGTAAAATTTATTTTACTATTTTTTTTCATTTTTTACTATTTTATTTATTCAGTTACAGTTTTTTTTTACTATTTTTAACAAATTCTTTATTTCATTATAGTACAATACTATTTTCTCTATTTAGTTCCATTGTTTCATTATTTTTACAATTTTCTACAATTTTTTTATTTTGTTACTATTTTTTACTATTATTTACCATTTTAAAAATTTTTTTTCTTTGATTCCAGTTTTTTTTACTATTTTTATAATTTTTTGCTTTTTTTCTTACTATTATTTACCATTTTTTACTATTTATTTTATTCTGTTACTATTTCTTTACAATTTTTACAATTTTTACAATTTTTACAATTTTTACTATTTTTTTAATTTCTTTATTCTATTACAATTTTGTACTTTTTTAATCATTTTTTACTATTTTCTATACTTAGTTTAATTTTAATTTATTTTACTATTTTTACCATATTTTCTACTGTTTTCTTTATTCAGTTCCAGTTTTTTGTTACTATTTTTAACATTTAATTTATTCTATTACTTTATTCAATTATTTTGTCAATTTAGTTCCATTTTTTTACTATTCTTACCATTTTTTAAATATATTCTTTCTTTAATTACAGTTTTTTTTCTGTTTTTACCATTTTTTGCCATTTTTCATACTGTTATTTACTATTTTTTACTATTTTCTTTATTCTATTACAATTTTGTACTTTTTAAATCATTTGTTACTATTTTCAGTATTTATTATCATTTATTGTACTATTTTTACCTTCCCACTATTTTTTTTAATTCTTTTACCATGTTTTTATTATTATTTAAAATTTATTTATTTATTTGAAGATAAACAGGTTTCAAATAAACCCTTTCGTACAAAAATTCTTAATCATAATAATACAAGAAAAGCCTCATTTATCAATATTTTTGTTTTTTAGTTCCAGTTTTTTACTATTTTCTATATTCTTTTCCACTTTTTAAATATTTTTACCATTTTTCCTATCTTCGTTATTGAGTTAAATTTTTTAAATTTCTTTATGTTTTACTATTATCTTGATTCTTTCTTTATTCTATTACAATTTTTTTTGCAATTTTTACAATCTTGTTTACTATTTTTACCCTATTTTTGCTATTTTATTATTCTTTATTATTTTTTCTTACTTTCCTTGTTCAGTTCCACTTTTTACTATTTTCTTTATTCAGTTCCAATTTTTTTTTACTATTTTCTTTCAATAATTTAAGTTTTTTACTAAATTTCATCATTTTTTACATTTTTTCTTCCTATTATTTACCATTTTCTATTATTTTTTTAACCTGTTACTCTGTTTTTAGTATTATTTACCATTATTCTTTGTTTAGTTCCAATTTTTTATTATTTTTACAATTTTTTACTATTTTCTTTGTTTTTTCACAATTTTTCTTCATATAATTTAACCTTTTTACTATTTTCTTTATTGAGTTTCAGGTTTTTTACTATCTTTACCGCATTCTACTATTTTCTTCATTCTATTACAGTTTTTTACAATATTTGTATCATTTTTTACTATTATCTGTATTTAGTTTCAATTATTTTACTATTTTTACCATTTTCTACTATTATTTTTATTCTGTTACTATGTTTTTACTATTTTCGTTATTATATTACTATTTTCTACTATTTTTTAGAGTATTTTCCTTTTTGTGGAACAATTTTTTACATTTAATTAATTATTGTTACTATTTTTCAATTATTCTGTTTTTACTACTTTTTAAAAGATTTTCGTATTATTTAGCGTTCTTCTACTATTTTTTTTACTATTTCCTTCTTTTTTTTAACTAAATAAAAATACTATCAAAACTATAACAAATCAATTAATAGGTACTTAAAATATTGAAACGTAATTAAATTAATTTTTTTTATACTAGGTATTGTTACTAAATGTGACAATATTTCTGTAATATTACTTCTATTGAATGTAATGTTAAAATAATTTCACCTATAGTTTTACTGTAAGGAGAACATATTAATTTTAATGTAATTATTGTACTACATGGTAATATTACATTTTATAGTCACAAATCATTATTGCAGTATTATTTCACTATAATACATAATTACTGCCTAATTACGATTGTAGTACTGCTAATAATTAGCCTAATAATAAAGTTTTTCCGTGTTTATTATATTTTTTTAATAATTTCTTTTCTTCTTCTAAAAACTCATTTTACAGAACAATTTTATTTTCAATTACAAAAAAAATAAAATTACTCCATAACAATTTTATTTTTTTATATTATTAAAAAGCGCGTCGCTGATATACTTAATTATCACATAAAAACCCTTATTCCCATTATAATTAAACAAATGAAATTTATTTTCTGGTAGAAAGTCACAAAAGAAACTTCCCTTCCCTTTTTTCCATTCAGAAAAAAATATGGAAAATATTTTATTTTCTGAATAAAAGAGAAATAAACAGAGAAAAAAAGTTAAACAACTTTTTCCCTAAATATATATATAGTATGTTAAAAAAATGGTAAGAAATAAAATTTTACATTCCATGAAGAAAAAAAAAATTCTTGCTTTTTTTCTCAACTTATATTAGAGAGTAACACTTTATTTTTCTTTTACGAGTTTATATTTAAATTATACCACTTGTTTAATTACGTTTACGCTTTAAATTAAAATTTCATTTTTCTTTAATTTCTTATTTGCGCTTTTTTAATTCTTTTTTAATTCTTTTTTTTTCTCCCTCTCTCTCTCTCTTTTTTTTTTGAAGTTTTCTCTCTGAGTTTCGCTCTCATTTTTTTTTCATTAATGCCAGGAGTGCCGACAGTTTTCTACCAGGAAACCGGATCTGTGGGCTACTTGTATTCAAAAGGACCGGTCCAACATTACCAAAGGGCTGCTCTACGAGAGAAATGTATGAATTTGAGGTTCATTAGTTTGACAGACCAAATTTTTATACTTTTACATTTAACATTATATTCATTTCAAATTTTTCTTTCTATATCCATTTTTCTATCTCATGATATTCATACATTTCTGTCTTTTCAATCTAATTCAGAATTTTTGTCCTATTTTTCTATTCATTTTCTATTCGCATTTTCTATTTTTTGTTTTTTGTTTTTTGTTTTTTTGATTGGGAAAAATTTATTTGAAAAGAAAAATTAAAAAAAGAAAATTATTAATAATATATTCTCGAAAAAAATTGCTTCTACGTTAAATTACATTTCTTTGAAAAAAACGAATCTAGACATTTCATATTATAGGATTTTTCAAACATCTATTACTTTATTTTACGTTTAATTTGCATTAAATTTACTTTTCAGTCACAAATTAATCCTCATTGCATGAGAACTAACATTCTGGTTAAAATGTTAATCGATAAATTGAATTCAGGAAGGAATTAAATTATAGAAAAGGAAAATTTTCGTATGTAGAAAATTTCCAAATTTGTTCAATTGAAAATAGGGCTCTGAAAAGTGCCATTTCTGGAAAACTGGCTAGGCCCCTAATAAAGTTTTATTTAATGTTTAGAACAATTTCATACCCACTTAATTTATTTTAAAAATACAATTCGCCCAAATTAGTATTTTTTCCTTTTTTCAAAACTAAAGTATTATTTTGAAAAATAAAATAATATTAACAGAAGAAACTAAATTGAAAAAAAATTATATAATAAAAAAAAATCTGAATTAAAAAATATAAATTGAATAATAATCTGAATGAGAAAAATACGAATTGAAAAATAATCTAAATTAAAAAAACACCAATTAAAAAATATTAATGATATGAATTACAAAAACAGAAGTTGAAAAGCAATCTGAATTAAAAAGAATAATTGAAAAATAATATAAAATAAAAATGAAATAAAAATGAAAAATAATATGAATTTAAAAATAAATAAATTGGAAAAAAATTATATGAATTAAAAAAATGAATAAAAATATGCATAAAAAATATGAATTGAAAAAAATAGTAATGGAAAAAGAATATATATTGAAACTAAATATAGTAATAAGGCAAATACCCAAAAAGAAAAGCAACACATTGGTAGAAAGAAAGAAATTTTATATTGTATAATCGGGGTATTATTTTCTGATATTAACGCGTAAAATTTATTATTAATTTATTAATTGAAAAGCAAAATTAACTATTTAATGATAATATTTTAAAAAATGAATATTTTAATTTGAGAACAATTGTGATCAGAGCTTTATGTTACAGTGGATCTTACCAATGGACAGCTCACCCCGAACAACAACACACCCTTGCTTACGCAAGCTCTGTCTGGTACGTTCAACACTCTTAATATTCAAAAATAAAAAAACGCTTTCTCCTAAATTTTTATTTTTTCAAAATCATCTACAAATTATTGAAAGAAAATTAAAAACAATTAATTTCACAATTTCAATTAACAATTAATTTCACCTTTAAAAATAATTAACTTTTATTATTATTTTACTATTAACGATTAAATTTATCTAAAATAATTAAATAAAAAAAATTTATTCTTGTGTAATTAAACCACTTGAAAAGATATTGTTTTTTACGAAAAATTTTTTTTTTAAAGAATTTTTATCACTTGTGTTTATTTATTGTAAATGATTAGTTTTAAGAGTTAGAATTTTTTTTGCGGAAAGAAATTATTTCAAGTGGTGTTGGTACACTCTGTACTCCTTTATATTACTTGTTAGTTTGGAAAAAATGGTCCAGTCCTTATAAGAAGCAATTTACACGTATAAATCAGTAGTAGAGACAGGTTTTAGTCAGACAAAGAATTTCAATTTTAGTAGTTTTAGACTTTTAATCAAAATACCAGTTAAGTCCATGCTAAAAGTATATGCAATAATAATCCATGTTTAGAAGTATCAAAAATAATCATTATGTCATGAAAATCAGTAGTAAAACCAACTTTTTGTCAGACAAATTAAAAATTTGTCAAATCGAGTGCTAAAAGCTAATTTCTAACCGACGACGTTGCAGCGTTGTCAATTTTAAGTAACAATGATAAAAATACGTGTTTGATAGTGAAATCAGTAGTGAAGGCAATTTTTAGTCAGACAAAAAATTAAAATTTAGGTAGTTAAAGACTTTTAGTCAAACGACTAGTTAAATCCATTGTTTGTAGCATTAAAAGCAAAAAATACCCCTAATAACATTAAAATCAGTAGTAGAGGCCTGTTCCAGTCAGACAAAAGAAAAAAGTTTTAGACCGAAGTAGAAATTATAAATTTTTACTAAAGTGTTTTGTAAGTGTTATTGTGAATATACGTCACAAATATTGAAATGAGTAGTAAAGTTACTTTTTAGTCAGACAAAAATTTTATTATTAACGAATTTAAGTAGTCACGTTAATCTTTAGTCAGACATAACTGTTGAATTTCAAATCTTTAAAAGTTATTAATAAGAATACGTTTAAATATTGTGAATTAAGTAGTAAATCCAACTTTCAGTCAGACAACAATTAAAATACTTTAATTTTAGTAGTAATTTAAAGTTTCTGTCAGACTGGATAATTAGAAAATTTTTAATCTAAGTAATAATAGTAAATGTACATTTTAAGCAACCAAATAAGTGGTAAAGACCGAATTTTGTCAGACTATCTAAAAATAGCTAAATACGTAGTAATTTTTAACTTTAGTCAGACAAAAATTAAACAACAGGAGGTTATAACATATTCTGTAAGTGTTGTGGCTGTAGGGCTATAAATATTAGAATAAGTAGTAAAGTCAATCTTTAGTCAGACAAATAATTGAAATTCACTAATTTTAAGTTGTAATTTATTATTTAGTCAGAGAAAAAAATTTTTTTAAAAGTTTTAATTTAAGTTGTAATAAAAAAAGTACATTTTAAACAGTGAAATCAGTAGTAAAGTCCACGTTTAGTCAGACTATTTAAAAATGACAAATTTAAGAAGTAAGAGCAACTGTTGATTTGTTATTTTAAGTAGTGCAGTCAAGCTTTAGTCAGACAAAACGATTAAATTGACGTTTTTATAAACACGTTTTAAACTGGCAAATCAGTAGTAAAGCCCTTGTTTAGTCCAACTATTTAAAAATGATCTCAAATTAATTTCTAGGTAATTTAAAAGATGCCATTAAAAGTAGTAGTAAAGACAAGTTTCAGTCAGACAAATGATAAAAATTCTTACATCCGAAGTAGAAGTTATAAATTATCGTCGAACTAACATTTTTTTGTAAGTAATATTTTAGAAATACGTCACAAAAATATAAATAAGTAGTAACGATACTTTTTAGTCAGATAAAATCTTATTTTCCAAGAATTTGAAGTAGTCTAGTTAAGTTTTAGTGAGACACAACACATGAAGTTTAATTCTTTTAAAGTTATTAATAAAAGTAGGTTTTAAATAGCGAACTAAGTAGTAAATTCAATCTTCAGTCAGCCGGCAATTAAAAATTATTTTTTTCAGTAGTAATGTCAATATTCAGTCAGACAGGATAGTTAGAAAAATTGTAATTCAAGTCATAACAGTAAATGTACATTTTAAACAATTAAATCAGTAGAAAAGTCCACGTTTAGTCAGACTATATAAAAAATTATCAATTTATCAATTTATGAAGTCAAACCCACCGTTTATTTGTTATTTTAAGTAGTAAAATCAGGTTTCAGTCAGGCAAGGCGATTAAAATGTGGTTTTTGTTATGTTTTAATAGTGAACATACGTTTTAAATTCTAAACTAAGTAGTAAATTCAATCTTAAGTCAGACAAACGATAAAAATTCATTAATATCAGTAGTAATTAGAAGATGCAGTCAGACTTTGTATTTAAACAATTTTTAATTTAGAAAAGAACAATAAACATATATTTTAAACTTCAAATCAGTAGTAAAGTCCAAATTTAGTTGTACTATTAAAAAATGATCTCAAATTAATTTTTCCGAAAATTTATAAAAAGCTATTCAAATTAGTAGTAAAGACAAATTTTAGTCAGACAAAACATGAAAATTCTTATATTCGAAGTAAAAGTTTTAAATAATAAGTAAAAATAAGTAAAATTTAAGTCAGACGCAACAGATAAAGTTTAATTCTTTCAAACTTCAAAGTTATTAATAAGAGTAGGTTTTAAGAAGTAAATTCATCCTTTAGTCAGCCAACAATTAAAAGACCATAATTTCAGTAGTAATGTCAAGTTTCAGTCAGACAGGTTAGTTAGAAAAATTAAAAATACATTTTTAACAAAAAAAAACAGTATAGTATAGTTCAAGTTTTGTCCAATTTTTTAAAAAAAGCAAATTTCAGAGTAACTATTTTCTATTTTAAGTAGTAAAGTCATGTTTTAGTCAGACGAAGCGGTTAAAATGTTGTTTTTGTAAAGTTAATAAAAAAGGTCGTTATAAGTAGTGAATTAAGTAGTAAATTCAACCTTCAGTCAGCCATCAATTAAAATACATTAATTTCAGTAGTAATGCCATGTTTCAGTCAGACAGGATAGTATGAAATTTTTAATTCAAGTAATAAAAGTAAATGTACATTTTTAACAATAAAATCAGTAGTAAAGTCCACGTTTAGTCGGACTTTTTTTTAAAAATTGTAAATTTAAGTAGTCAAAGCAACTGTTTATTTGCATTTTTAAGTAGTAAAGTCAGGTTTTAGTCAGACAAAACGGTTAAAATTTTGTTTTTGTAAAGTTAATAAAAAAGTTCGTTATAACTAGTGAATTAAGTAGTAGATTCAACCTTCAGTCAGCCATCAATTAAAATACATTAATTTCAGTAGTAATGACAAGTTTCAGTCAGACACAATGGTTGAAAAATTTTTAATTAAAGTAGTAACAGTAAATGTACATTTTTAACAATCAAATCAGTAGTAAAGTCCACGTTTAGTCGGACTATTTTTTAAAAATTGTAAATTTAAGTAGTCAAAGCAACTGTTTATTTGCATTTTTAAGTAGTAAAGTCAGGTTTTAGTCAGACAAAACGGTTAAAATTTTGTTTTTGTAAAGTTAATAAAAAAGTTCGTTATAACTAGTGAATTAAGTAGTAGATTCAACCTTCAGTCAGCCATCAATTAAAATACATTAATTTCAGTAGTAATGACAAGTTTCAGTCAGACACAATGGTTGAAAAATTTTTAATTCAAGTAGTAACAGTAAATGTACATTTTTAACAATCAAATAAGTGGTAAAGACCGAATTTTGTCAGACTATTTAAAAATGACAAATTTAAGAAGTAAGAGCAACTGTTGATTTGCATTTTTAAGTAGTAAAGTCAGGTTTTAGTCAGACAAAACGGTTAAAATGTTGTTTTTGTAAAGTTAATAAAATAATTCCTTTTAACAAGTCAATTGAGTAGTACATTCAATTTTTAGTTAGACAAAAGAATCTAATTATTCGATTTAAAAGAAATTAGGTAAATGACATTTTTAAATAGTAAACTAAGTAGTAAATTCAATCTTAATTCGGACAATCAATTAAAATTTTAAATTCATTAAATTCAGTAGTAATTTGAAGTTTCAGTCAGACAGTTCCTTTTCATTAGTGAACTAAGTAGTAAATTCAACCTTTAGTCAGACATCAATTAAAATACATTAATTTCAGTAGTAATGACAAGTTTCAGTCAGACAGAATGGTTGGAAAAATTTGAATTCAAGTAGTAACAGTAAATGTACATTTTTAACAATTAAATCAGTAGTAAAGTCCACGTTTAGTCGGACTATTTAAAAATAGTAAATTTAAGTAGTCACAGCAACTGTTTATTTGCATTTTTTAAGTAGTACAGTCAAGTTTTAGTCAGACAAAACGTTTAAAATGTGGTTTTTGTAAAGTTAATAAAAAAAAGTTCGTTTTAACAAGTAAATTGAGTAGTAAATTCAATCTTCAGTCAGACCAAAGAATCTAATTATTCGATTTAAAAGATATTCGATAAATGTCATTTTTAAATAGTAAACTAAGTAGTAAATTCAATCATAAGTCAGACAATCAATTAAAATTCTTTAAATTCAGTAGTAATGCCAAGTTTCAGTCAGACAGGATAGAATTCCAATTTAACAACAGTAAATGTACATTTTAAACAATGAGATCAGTAGTAAAGTTCAAGTTTAGTCAGACAATAAACTTATTTTTACAAATCAAGGCAACTATATTATTCACGCACTCTTTTTTTAAGGATATCAAATTGAGACAAAAAACGTTTCAAAATAGTTGCGAAGTTTTGATACGTTTTTTGTCTCAATTTGATATCCTTAAATCAACTGTAAGTTATTAATTGTTTATACTTCTTACACTTTTTTAAAAGAACTTTTCCCATACGGAAACAAAAATATATAAATAAATAAATATATAGAAATTATTAAAAAATTAATAGGAAAAAAAACGTTGGAAATAAAGAAAAATTGTTTTATTCCCCGTTTTCTATTTCCTTCTCTCTATAACGAATTTCAAGAACAAAATTGTTGAAACGAAGTAAATTAGATATATTTGCGAAAAGCAAGAACAAAAACAAATTTGAATATCGACTAGAAAAAGCATGGAGAGAACTTGGTAAAAAAAAAAGAAAAAGAAAAAGAAGAAATGATCCACAGTTTGAAAAGCTACAGTAACAAGATTCTTGAAATTCAAAGGGGTTTTCTTCGACTTTAAGACAGAAAGTTTACTATATAACTTTGAAGGATTATGTGAAATGCATTAGAGTTCCTCCTTCTGCGAGAAGAGGAACGAACGTATGTACGAAGATATTTCGAAGAGGGATACAATATGGAGTTTGCCACAAACGCCGACAGGAAAATAGAACGCCTTGTTTCGTTCTTTTTTTTTTTTTTTCTTTCATTTTTCTCTCTTTTTTTTTCTCTCGTTTCACAACCCCCACCGAAGATTCTGCAATCCAGCCAGCCATCCGCAATCTCCTCTCTCAAATAAATCAAACTTTTGAATCACGCCAACCTCCTTCCGTTTACCTTGGTTGCAGAACCCTCTGGCACCAGCAGAAAACTTTGTAACTGGCCAGCATTGTCAAGAGTTTAAAAAGCTGAATGGGTTTTTAGATTGTACGACGCCCCAGCGTTCGGTTTGTCATTGGACCGTCTTCGCCTACTTTTCTTACCTTGCGCCATTTCCTGTTAGTCGTCGTCTTCGTCGTCTTCGTCGTCGTCGTTGAGAGTTTCAAATTCTTCCCTCGCGCCGCATCTCCCTTTCTCTCTCTTTCTCTCGTGACGTCGATAAATCTTCCGAGAAACGTCTTTGCAAAAACTTTTTAGGCATTTAACTTACGTCAAGAGACTTATTAAATTTGCTTTCTGATTTTTTTTCACTTATCATTCGATTTTTCAGTTTGGCTTTGAATTTTTTTTACATCTCGTGTGCAATATAGCTTTTGCTATAATTTATATTCTGATTGTATTATTAATCATCCATTATTTATGATTTATTATTTTTTATTTCTCATTTTTTTTATTTATTATTTATTTATTTTGTATTTATTTTTTATTTATTTTTGCATTTATGATTTGTAAATTTAATATTTATTATTTATTACACATTATTTATTTTTCATTAGTTTATTATCTACTAATTTTTATTTACAATTTAGTACTTATTTTTCTTTTATTTACTACTTACTAATTGTTATTTAGCATAGTAATAAATAAATAATAATATGTAATGAATAATAAAATAATAAATAATAAGTAAATACTAAATAATAATTAATAAATGATAAATAGTATTAACTATTTAGTGTTTGCTTATTATTTATTCTTTTATTATTCATTACAATATTATTTTATTGTTTATCACTTTTCATTTATTTTTTATTATTTTTTTCCAAATTCGAAATTAATTTTTTAAATACAATTTGAACCCCTTTAAACAACGTGTAAATATTAATTATTAATCAATTATTAAATAAATATTTCTGGAAAATTCAATTCTTTTTAAATCTCTTATGAAATTTTTTAACAAATTCAATTATTTTCAATTTGACTTCATATAATTTTAACTATAATTTAATAATTCTTTAATAAATGAATTTTTAACATTCAACTATCATTAGAAAATTGAATTAAAATTTCTTGGAAACCTAATATTTTGCAGGATTTTAAATAATTGAAAAACTCATTAACTAATAAAAATACCGAATTGAAAAAAATTTGAGAAACTCGACAACATTGAATTCTCTTTGAACTTTTTTTTAACTTAAAAACTTTTTATAATTATAATGAATATGAAAACAAATATCTTAATTTTTTAATTTTTTTAAATAATTGAATTTCTTTTAAATAAATAAAATTTAAAAAAATGTTATTTTCAAAAATAATTGAATTTTAAAATATTTTAAAGAAAAATGTTAGAAAATTTCAATTTTTCTAAAGAAATTGATAATAATTTTAATAATTCATAATCATAATCAATTTTAAAACAATACCTTTACTTTTTTCTTATTTCTGTAAATAATTGTCTTTATTTCAAGTCAATAAAACAAAAAGAATTGATATTTTAAAGAAATTATTGAATTTCAAAAGATTTTAAACAAAAATGTTTAAAGATTTCAATTTTTATAGGTATTATTTTGTATTAACAGACCAAAATATAAAAATAACTAAAAAAGTGGTTTTAATTAAAAGCAAAATCTTTTAACATAATTGTTTATCAATTTTCGCTGTGGGAAAGAAAAAATTTTTTTTTTTATTATTTAAAAAATTAATACATGTAACATTTATCGAAAATATTTTTTTGATACACATAGGGTATTCATTTGCACATCAAAGACTTATATTCCATTTTATAATAATTTTAATACTTCATTCAATAAAAGAAAAATTAGAATGAATTTTATAAATACTGCTCTTCATTTAGAAATTTCATTTAAAATTATTTTATCATGTATTCTTATTTTATTATTTTATTTTATTGTCGAGAAAAAATTAGGAAAAAAAATTATAAATATAATTAACATTTCAAAAACAAGATTAATTTTAAAAAATCAAATTAAAAAACTATGTTTACAGAAAAATTTTCTAAATTGTAAGAACTAAAGTATTGGAAAAATGGGAAAAAAAATTGAATTTAAAAAATTTCAGTTTAATTAGAAATGAGTTTTTCTAAATATTTATTTGAAAAAAAGAAATATTTTTCCTTGTATATCACTATCTGAAGATGTTGAAATGAAAAATTCTGATCAATGATATTGCTTGCTACGTTTACTTTGTCATGTACACATTTATTGTTGTCAATATAACTTTCCATCAAACATATAAGTCTATTCTGTCGATTAAAAATGTGTTTCTATCATTCGAATGAGAAAAAAAAACCGATATTGATCGAAAACAAAAAAAAACTTCTCATTTCCATAAATGTAGATACTGCTTTTTTGTATTGACTTTTATTTTTTATATCCACTTTTTTTTGGTCCGAAAAATTAATTTATTTAGTGCTACTTTTACCTCTCATTTACATTAACTTTTATTATTATTATCTATTACGTTATTTAAATATATTTGCTTCTAAATAACCGTAGCGTACCTACGACATTCTTCCGTAGATCCTAACGGCCCCCTAGGGACCGTTACGTATTAACTTTCATTTTTTACATCAATTTTTTTTTTGGTCCGAAAAATAAATTTATTCAGAGCTATTTTTACCTTTTATTTACCTTAACTTTTATATTATACTATCTCCTATATTATCTTAATATATTTGCTTCTAAATAAGCATAGCGTACCTCCAGTGTCAGCCCGTAGTACCTAACGGCCCCCTAGGGGACGGTACGTTACCTTTTGGCAACTGTTTCCATAGCAACCGTTAGAATGGTAATGATTACCATAGGCAACGATTGCTATGGTAACAGTTATTATCAAGTAATGTAACGCCCCCTGTGGGGGGCCGTTAGGAACTTTGGACTGATTTCATAGTCTCGCCCCTTGGTCACGAAACCCTAAAGAAAATATAGTAATAAGTAAAAAGAAAAAAGAAGAAAAATACAGAAATTAAATAAAGTTTGAAAAAAATTAAAGGAAGGAAAAAATTAACGAAGGGTTTCTTTTTTATTTTGCAGTGATGAATAATTATCAAGCGGCGCAAGCTGGATTTCCACCAGCGTCGCCACACGGAGCCGGTGGTCATGGACCTCAGGGCCGCTCGTTTCCTGCAGCCAACTCGCCAGGGCCTATTGACATGTACAGTTCGAGTGCTGCAGCAGCAGCGGCCGCCGCAGCTGCGGATTCTGCAGTAGCCAGCTATGTTCAGGCAGCAGCCAGTCCGCAACCACCCACCACCGCGTTTCCCGCGATCGCAGTATCCCGTGCCCCGCTCAACTACAATCCCGTAAGTTTTACACCCGGTGTGTTTATTTAGATGCAACTCAAGATTATTATGGTCAGTTTATCCCACACTGAGTTCTCTCTTGGAGTACAGCGGTTAATAAAGTGCCCATTATTGCCCTAGGGCAATAATGTCAACTTTATTGACCGCTGGACAATAATCAGTACTTTTTTGCCCTAGGGCAATAATGTCAACTTTATTGACCGCTAGACAATAATGAGAACTTTTTTGACCTATGGCCAATAATGAATACTTTATTGATCATAAGTATTCATTCATGCCCATAGGTCAATAAAGTACACATTATTGCCCTAGGGCAATAATGGGCGCTTTATTGATCTAGGGAAGTAATGTGTACTTTATTGACCTAGGGCAATAATTTTTTACTTTATTGACCTATGGTCAATAATGAGTACTTTTTTGCCCTATGGGCAATAATGAATAGTTTATTGATCTAGGGCAATAATGAATACTTTACTGACTGCTGTCAGGTCAATAAAGTATCCATTATTACCCTAGGGTAATAATAATAATTATAATAAACTTGAGGAGCAAATTTTGTAAAAGTTTTCTTAAAAAGCTTTCTTTACGAAAATTTTAAGAAAGCAACAATTTGAAGAATTAATCAGATCAGTGATAGGATTCTCACGTGCTGTTTCAGGGTCCCCTGATACCAGCCGCATTCACTAATGGCTACCATTGAGCCTTCCTACGACCTAACAACAGGTAAATATTTCTATATTAGCAACTAATTAACTAAAAAAAGTAATTAATTTAACTACTTTAACAGTAAACGTTTAAAAATAATTAATTTTTTAAAAAGAATTTTATCCAATTTTATCAAATTGGAGGAAAATAATGGAATTTATATTTAAATTCTTAAAAATAATCGAATTTAAATAATAATTCTTAAAAATAATGGTATTATTTTGAGAAATTTTCTTAAAATAGTATTTAAATAATTAAATTCATTCAAAGTAATTTAATTGAAATATTAAAAATAATTAAATTCTTACGAAGAATGTAGATATTATTATACTTTTGACAATAATTAAATTCTTTTGAAGAATTTCTATAAGTTTTTTAAAAATAATCTAGTTTTTTAAATATAGTTGAAAATTGAAATATTTCGATAATAATTTTGAATTTTATTATAATTGTTAAAAATAATTCAATCCTTTCGAGAAATTTCATTAAAATTCTATTTTTAATAATTGAATTCCTGTGAAATTTTCATTATTTTAGAAAATAATTAAATATTCTTGTAGAACTTTGTCAAAATTATTTTTAAATAATTCAATTATTTTGGGAAATTTTATTAAAATAATAGGGGAACATAGTCTAGGTCGGCCACCTTTTTGACTTTTGTTTATAACTTTTTTTTAAAAATGAATTTGGACAATTGAAGTATATGGTTGGAAAGTCCTGTTTAATAGGAACATTTTTTCTGTACAAAGTAAATTGACAGGTTTAAAAATGAAAAAGTTATAAAGATTTAAAAAAAAAAAAATTTGTAGTCCAGGTTGGCCATTACAGTCAAGGTCGGCCATGTTTAAAATTCAAAGGGCATTAATCGTTAAAAAATAAAATAACATGTTTGGAGTTACGGAAAATTGATTCTTTATTGTTTACAGTTTGTAACTTAATGAAATAACAAAATAATAACAATAAACAATATAAAAAAATAAATATAAATAAAAAAAGTTTTGCACTAAAATATTAATAAAATTAAATAAAAATATTAATAAGATGATCAATTATATTATGAGTTATACAGAATTGCAGTTTTTGCAAATGAAGTAGCTCGTCCTTATCTTTGCGCATTTTAAACACATAGTGGCCGACCTTGACAGTAAGTAACATTACCGAATTGTTGTAACCATAAAGAAATACGTTTCGGGATTCGATTTTTTACTTTGTTTTCCTTTCAACCATGAGTCCCACAAATTTTCTGCATACTTGCCTTGACGATTCAATTTGTTTTTTATCTTTTATTAATGGTTTTTCACATTATGCACAAAACTTTTTTTGAGCTTTTTTTGTACCGACGTCACAGAAAACACAATTTTCGATTTTCCGAAAATGTAATTGAACAAAAAGTTAGGTTTCACTAAGACAAGCTTCGACAAAAATGCGCGTAGGTGGCGCTAGTGAACTTGACAAAAAAACGCGAGTGGCCTACCTAGACAGTAGGCCAACCTTGACTACATTCCCCTAAATATATATACAAATTATTGAATTATAAAGAATTTTTGAAAATAATTAAATATTTGCTATAAATTTTTTTTTTTTTTAGTTCACTGTTAACTTTAAATTATCAAATTTCAACGAATTGATACCAAAAATGTGGATCAAATCAAAAATTGATCCATATTTTCAGCATCAATTTGATTCACTTTAGTATCAATTTGATACTTTCAAGAAAAATTAATAATAATTTATTATTTGACTTGGAAGATTGATAATTTCCTTTTAATTTTAATAAAAAAAAAATTAGTAAAAATAAAAAATAGTAAAACAATCATTTTTTTAAATTATGTTTTCCATAAAATATTAAAAATAGATTAATTCTAATTAAAAAAATTCTTATTTAAGGATGGACGAGAGGGTAGAGCGCAGCATGGTCGACTGACGGCACAACGGGTTACACGAAAGCTTCGGAAATGAATAAAAGTGTCATCAAAGCTTATTAAAAAAAAAAAAAAAAAGAAAAAGAAAAAAAGGAAAAGAGGCGAAGAATTGCACAGAATAACGAGAACGAACAAAAAAGTGAGAACTGCGACGTGGGCAATCGTTTCCGGCGAAAAAAGCTTCATGTTCCGAGAGTGACCGACGTTATGATCGAGCGTGATCATACATAAATATAAGAAAATGTCAATGAAAAGGAATCGGAGTCACGAGCGTCGCAGGGAATTGCATCGAAATATTCACATGACGTGTGTCATGAGAAAAAAAAGAACGCAACAGTGAACAAAAAAAAGTTAATCACCAAGGCACGTCAAAAAAAAAAAAGAAAACCGAGGTCCAAATTCAAAAAAATCACCTTCAAATTTCAAGACACACAAGACCTCGAGCCCACAGCCGAACCTGCAAAAAAAAAAATATTTTGGCGCCAAACCCGTTCTCCGACATTAATAAATAATAATATAATAATGAATTAAATTAATAATTATTATTAATTGCTAAATAAATAAGCGGTTAAGTATATAAAAAAAATATATATAAATAATAAATGATTGATAAATTACTAGATAACGTATGATCTTAGCTTTTAAGCGAAAGGCAAAATACCAATTAACGTACGAAACAATTATATATGTTGCAAAAAAAAAAAGAGGAAAAAAAAATGATAATGATGATAATTAATTATACAAACGCATTATTATTTCTGTGTATGTATAATTAATCATTAAGGCACGCTCACACGCGCGTTCATACTCAGGAGAACAATAGCATTGTCCTACCCCCTCCCTCAAAAAGGTGGCAAAAAAAAAAGAAATGACAAATTTTTTTTTTTCACAAGCTATTTCTCTCCTGTTGTGTGCAATAACTGATGAAAGGAAGTTTCATTCGTACACGTTACATGTTTGGTGTGACGCTATTTATATTATTCAATCACCGAGAATATTAACAGATCGAACACCACCGAGCGTCAAATTTGACGTGAGATTTATTTTTCCTTTTTTTAAAAAGAAAATTGGCCAAAAAAGAAATTTTTTTTTTTTTTGTAAATTTTTTCAATCCTTGGCTTTGTATTTATCTTGCGTCATTTGACGACGGTATTTCGTGATAAAGTGGCGAAATAATGGCTGTTAAATCGGCGCGTATAGTTACCTATCGATTACTCGAATTAACCCCAATACAATATTACCCCAGGTATCAATTTTAATGTCTTGAGCCTGCATCTGAACTGAATTTGAGATACTTCTTTTGTTTTCTCTCTCTCTCCCTCAATCTCTCTCTCTCTCTCTCTCTCTCTCTACTCTGATTAGTATTTCTTCAGACCAAACGCAGCCTCAAGATTTCATTTTTCCTAAAAAAAAAAAGCGATAGCGATCTTACGCGCCTTCTGCTTTTTTCTATTTTTATTTTTAGCAATAAATCATTTTAATATTGAATTTACTATTAATTACTATAGAAAAAAATTTTTTTCAAAAGAAATATAAGAGAAGGAAAACTTTCAAGTTGAGAACACACTGAAAGCGCGAGAGTGGGGGTAACGCGCGACCAATGACACTCGCGCCCTCCCCACTCTCTCAAGTGGTTCTCAACTCAACCTCTAGCAGAATCGCGTGTGAACGCTAATCGCTAATCTTTTCAAGTGGATTAAAAAAAAAAAACTATGAACTGCTTTGTAAATAATTTTACCAAAACAATTTATAGGCAAAAAAAAAATGTTGTATAAGGAATTTTTTTACAAAAAAATAACAAGCAGTCTCAGAAATTTTTCCCTGTTTGTAGAAGAAAGAAAAAAAACGAAAAGCTTCGTATTTTAACTTATACAGACACTTTCAACAAAAAAAAAGCACACACACACACACAAAACACATACAAATACACTTTAATAAAATATTAAACTTTAATGTTTTTTAAACAAAAAAAAAAACACACAAACACACAAAAAAATCGTTCTCGTCCGAATGTAAAATTTACAGATTCGTAATCGTGTGCAATGCAAAAAAAAAAAAATAATAATAATTATAATAATGCAGCTTGAAAATGGAAATAAGCTTACTACAATTATAGGTGCATTAAAATTTGCTGGACAGAATAAAAGAAAAAAAAAAATTAGGTTCGCAAACGCAACGCACAAAAAATGGCATCGAAAAAATCGAAATACCACGTATCTAAAAATAATTCTCTCTCTCTTAAAAAATAAAATCGAATCTGTTTTACAAATGGAATAGATTTAGATTCTTTAAGGACATTTTTGATAGGTAAAGAAAAAATGCTATCAATCTCTGAGATTCTCGATATTTTTAATTTTGTTAAACATTTTTTTTTTAAATTTCAATTTTTTAATTTATTATTCTTAGTAATGATGTTTGGACTAGCGAACATTAGAACACTAGAACCTCTTTTAAAGGGATTTTCATAAATTTTTGCAAAAAACCCTCTTATTAAAGGGGTTCTCAACTTTAGCGAAAAATGACGCTAATCCGAATATCATTTATACTATTAGATTAATGTTATAAAAAAAACAAATTATATTATTACTATCATTATTAATATTATTAATATAATTATTATAATTATTATTGCTACTACTATTATTACTATTAATATTACTATTATTATTATTATTTTTATTATTAATTATTTTTATTATTATTTTTCTTATTATTATTTTTATTATTACTACAAATATTACTATTACGGTAGTAATATTATTATAAATATTATTATAAATATTATTATGATTATTATTATAAATATTATTATTAATATAAATATTTTTATTAATATTATTGAAATTAATTCTAAACTCATTGACTTAAACTTATTACTATTATTAAATTTGCAAAAGAGACTATTAATTGCGGTTATTTGTATTATAAGTATTATAAATATGCGTGCAAAAATTATTGTGCGATTATATTATTATATTAAAAGACAGGGTAAACAAATTCTCATTGAGAGTCAAATTGTTAATTGCCAAAAAAAAATTTTTTTTTTAATTCTGCCTCTGAGCAAATCACTCAATTGAATAAGTCAATTCTTATTAAGCTAGCGAATATTTGGAGGTGTAAAAAAATTTGTAAATTAGAAACACAGATGCTGTGGGGGTGGGGGGAGAAAAAAAAGCATGAAGCTTTTTTTTATTGTGGCTCAAGAATGATTTCACTCATTGGCAGAATTAAAAGCGGTAATTTCAATTGATTTTTCAAAAAAAAAAAATGTCTAGATTTACGTTTTTTTTCTTTTTGACCAAAAAAAAAATGTGGTATCTAGACGTGAGATAGGCGAAAAAAAAATTATTAAAAATGGAAAATAATTGTAGAGGTTGAGATTCACTGGTTTTGTGAGAAGAAAAGGGAGTTAATGCGCAGAAAACCGTGGAGTGACTGTATTTGTGAGCGGAGCGCATGCGCCGAAAGTGGAGGGGACAATGAGAGCAAGTGAGAGCGACCCAAACTTCTCTCTCGCTCTCATTGCCCCTCCACTTTTCTCTTGCCTTACCCACTCCTTGTTATATTTAAATACAGTCACTTTATTCTCAACTTTCTTTCTATTTTAAAAACTGTATTCCAAAAAACCAAAATTAACAATGAATCGAAAATTTATTGGAATAAAAAAATCCAAAATTGAAATTAAAATTTAAAAACCAAAAGAAAATGGGATAAAAATCAAATTTCCAAGGGGGAAAAAAAAATTGTAAAAAGAAATTTCGTGAGTAAAAAAATACAATTCTGGAGGCAAATGAATTTCGTACGAGAATCGATAAAAAAAAATAATGCACATTCGAACGAAAAATAATAATCTATTAAAATAATACTCGTAAGCAAAAAAAAATAATTAACGAGATTTTAAAAAAATGAATGTTATTAACAAATTGTAACACGAGGATAAACACCAGCTCAAAAGAATCGTATAATATTAATAATAAAAAAAATGTTTGACCGCAATTTACTCAAAAAGGAGGCAAGATTTTCAAAAAAAAAAGGACTTTTTTTACATCTAGAAAAAAGCGCAGGACGAGAGGACACTCGGGTATTATATAAATATATATTTATGCCTGCTCGAAGGCAGAGGCAAAAAAAAACAATGATTTTGATTTGAGTACAAAAATTCCTCTGCCTCGCAAAACAAAAAACTTCCTTTCGCACGGCGTGTTTTTGAATCCTTTTCCGAATTCGAGAAAAAAAAAAAAATTCTCGTCGCTCACCAAAAAAAAAATTCTCTGAATTTGATACATGTACAGAAAAACCACAGCGACGGTTTACGATCAATTATTAAATGTGAATGTGTTTTAAAAAAAAAATGTGACGGATAGGAAACAAAAAAAAAGTCCACACGTTTATATAAATATATAAATAATATAAAATATAAATATTAAAAAAAAATATTACATCTATATCTGGCAAAAAAAAAGAGTATATGATTAAGGCGCGAAATAACGATTATGAACATGAAGAGAATATTAATAAATAAAATAAATAAAAAATTGTTTTATTGCATTTGTATATACTTATTGATGTTTTAAAGCTAATAAACTATTGTAATGATGTAATTTTTGAATCACCGGTGTCACATAATAATAATAAAAAAAAATAATAATAAACGCGTGAAGTCACGGCGTTATGGGTGGAGCTTAATTTGGCGAATTATCGACTTTTTTTACGCGAAAAAGAAAAAAAAATTGAAAATTTAAAAAAATTATTAGAAAAAGAATGATGATGACGATAAAATCGATTAAATCACTCTTTTAAGTTCCATCCCTTCTCGCGTTGACGTATATATGCAGTGTCAGTATATATAAATATTATATATACATAAATGGAGAAAGCCCGACATATTACTATATATATAAATATTATAAATAAATGGAGAAAAAAAAATATATGTATATTATAAATAATAAATTGACGATAAATGAAAAGAGAGAAAAAAAAAGAAAAATATCCGCGGAGAGGAGGAAAAAAAAATGTATACCGCGAAAAACGAATGAGAGAGAGGAATACGGAGATTTCACTCGATGGTGAACTAATTAATTAATGCTTTTTAATTAATTGATAAGTAACTTGTTAGCGATTATTCTGAGTCGAGTTGTTGATTAGTCGGGGAATGGGAAAATTGAATTGAATTTTTTTTTTTTTCATATAGAAAGAAAATTTTTTTATCGAAAATTATTTTACATGCGGAAAATTTTTTTCTAGAAGAAAAAAGTGAAAAATTTATTTATAGAAAATTTGTTCATAGTGACAGATTTGTTTTAGTTTCTAGAAAAGTTTTTCATAG